TTCTCGATTTGACATCCTCGTCCGTTCCTCCTGTAGTTGAGACAATGCTCCCTAGGTAAGTGAATGAAGTAACCTCTTTCAAACCCCTTCCTTTGATGGTGATTGGCACTGGATGTTGCTGTTGTTGTTGTTGGTTGGTTGGTTATTTTCATAACGTCCGTCTTGTCTATGTTCACCTGGAGTCCTGTCTTTGCTGCTTCTTCGACCAGTTTGTCGGTTTTCGCTTGTAAGTCTTCGATTTTGTGTGACATCAAACATAAATCATCCGCGAAATCCAGGTCTTATAATCACAAATATTTTAATTGCATTTCATACTATTATTACTACTACTATTATTACTTCATATATCCAAACCTTTGATCTAATTCCCTCACCGGATATAATTTCTTAAAAACAAGCACATGTATACGATTGTACAGTTTGATAATAAACTCTGTTTATATTTTGACTTCATCAAATGTGATATGATAATAATAATAAACACTTTTTTCTGCTTTTTTTTCTAAAGGTACTTCGTGGTGAAACCTACGGTAGAGCTTGTGATATCTGGTCGGTTGGATGTTGTCTAATAGAAATGTTGACAAGTAAACCTCCATGGCATGATGCGAGACTAACGAATCGTTATGCCCTAATGTATACTGTAAGTGTACTCGTGTGTGTGTGCGTGTGTGTGTGCGTGCGTGCGCGCGCGTTTATTCTGTCTCATGAGATCTATTCGGACAAAAAATACCTTAGAATTATTACGAAGGATATTTCCAGCAAGGTGAGAACAAATGAGAGCTCTGTCTGCTAGAGTTATAAACAGAACAAAACACGTTTCCTGCAGAATAGTCGACGGTTAAGTAATCACTCCACACCATAACCTTGACATCATTCAAACGAAATTCCAATCGGGCGGCCAATATAACTGACTCCATCGGAGCGAGTGAGTATAAAGACACTGAGTAGCTGCGGTGCTTTGATTTCCGAGTCGTTTATGTAGGTTTGTAAGTCTGAAATCAGAGCTGTTTTAAGTTCTGGTTCACCCAGAAGTGAAAGTGCCCGTTTTCTGCCACCAGAGAATTTAGGCTTTGAGACGACCGCCACCTGTCTGACTTCCGATAATCATGTTGAAAATCAATACAGGTTGGAAACACTTTTCATAGACTACCAAGGTTACCCTTGAAGTTTGGAATCATTTTATTTCTCCGGGCAATCTAGCATATTTCAAAGTTTAGGCTTCTACGTTACTTTTGCCAACATAGCCTGATACATACCAGTAAAAGTATTTACTCCAGCGCTTTGAGTTCTACCCGTACTCCAGGTTTCTGTCACACTTCTAACTACTGAAGGTGTAATACAAGTTTGTTTCACCCGTGGAGATTGTTGTTGCTCCGAAAATCTCTAAATGAATAATAAAACCTTCGTTAATCTTGAGCTGTTTTAAAGTGTCTTTATTCTTAAGAACCTTTCTACCTTAAATAAGGATTAACCTTTCCAATGGCATTTTTGATGCTTTCAAGGCTTTGTACCTGTAGTTTTTTAACTGAACATGAACTGGATACGCAATAAACGATCTGCACTTCCTTAGAAACTTTTATTCGTTAGTTGAAAGTAGACAGCAAAGGCAGCACTGTCTGAGTCACAGGGTCATAAAATCCATCATCAACATCATCATCATTGAGCAGGTTTAACAGGCCCAACTCTTTTGAAAGGATCTCATTTCCGCCTCTTGTTTAGTCTGGTTCTCACGAAATTCCAGTTGCACTTTTTGTTTAGAAACTCCTCTTAGACTACCTTAGAGCTAGACCTAACATCATCGTTAATTAAATGAAAACAAGAGACATGACAGGAAAATGAAAAAGAGGGACTTTCCGCCCTCCTGAAGGTGCATCCAATGTCTCCATATTTACCTTGTTCACAACAGGATTGGTAAACATCTTCATTGAGCGTCTACCAATCATATTATCACCTTGCAAATTTTCAGAAGTTAGAAATCATAGATCTGAAACCCACTAGTTACGTGAAGACAAACTCACCTTGTTAAGCATCATTCTTTAGCTCTTTTCTGACATAAAGTCGTGGATACCAAAGATTCATGATTTACAACAGTACGCTGGGCATAATTACCGGCGTCCAACAGAATGTCCTGGGTTCGAACACCGGTGGGTTAGTGGTGCTGAAGAGTCCCAAACTAGGACGAAACAGCTGCCCAGTACTCCCAGGTATTCCAATGGTTCTCTAACCAGTGTCAGCTCATGATGAAATCCTGTAACCAATCTCCATATTTCTTAACCTGAAGGCGGCATTTGATTCCGTCGACCGAGAGGTACTACGGCAATGTTTGATCGTGAAGACAATGCCAAGAAATTACTGATCACTGATTAAGACACTCTACTCAAACTCATGCAGTCAAGTGAGAGGTTACGGAGAGTTGTCATCTGAAGTGATGACAATCAGTGGAATTCATCAGGGATGCCCACCGTCCCCATTTCTGTTTAATTTCATCATAGATGTATTAATGGAATTAACCATAACTGACTTCAGTGACTCAGGGAATAATTAACTTGTTACCAGGTGATAACCGCGTTGATTTAGAATATTCGGATGATATAGTCCGCCCTTCTAGGTGAAGACTATGACAGAGTAGAGCAGAGTCTTCTGAACGCATGCGATTCACCCACTCCTGTCAAATATAACATGATGAAGCTACAGGACTAGACTGGACTACATCAACTCACTCCTAGCTTAAAGGAAGTGAAGTGGTTGGTGGAGTGTGTTGACCACTTCACTTATTCGAGGAGTTGAATCAGCCACTGCCAACGGGTTGATCGTTGACGAAATCTGAGCACGGATAAAGAAGGCTCTTTTGCCTGCCAACTTACGCCATCTCGGGATTAGTAGACGTGATATCCGGCTGGCTGGTGATTGACCAAAGGGCGTGTGTACTACTGACGAGTTCGCCCGTCATCCTTAATGTCTGGCTATGAGACATGTCCACTGAAAGTGGAAGACATGAAAAGTCTGGTTAGCTAGCTATCTGCGATCATAGGTGTCTGTGTTCTATCCCCCGTGTTAGATGATACGTGTAATAGGGAAAATAATGTTGAGGTAACAGGTTTCAGTCGAGTGCTAGGTAAGGAGAGGAAATCAATCGACAAGGTTCTGAAGCAGCTGCTTCTATTGAGATGGTTAGGACATGTGTTACGCATGACCAGCCATCGATTTCCTTGACAACAGCCAATGTTAGCTGACTGACATAGGATCAGGCGGAAAAGGGGCTAGTGGTGGTCAAACCAAAAGATGACTTCATCAGTCAATTAAATCCATGACAGAAAGTTTAAGCCAGCCAGCCAGCCAGTGACGTAGAGGGTTGTAGACTGACTGGTCGGAGTCCTCGGGATGGTGGTCAGAACCAATGAAGGCTGGAGATAATTGGTGATATGGCTCGAAATCGTCGTTATCAATGGCTGGTGTAGATGCATTCACTCTTTGTGACTTGTCAGTCATATCCAATAAAACTCTCTTGTTGTTATTCCTCCACATTACTGTTCTTTTTCCCTGACTCACACTAGTGTTCATTATCTCTCTATTTGTTGAATCTCTCTTTACTCTCTTCTATGCATATCCGTGCATAGTCCTATGTTAAAACCACTCAGTGAGACTCAGGATCTGTCTGTCTGTCTGTTTTCGACACAGAACTTTGCACATATGTGTGGCAGTTCATGTAGCACACAAAGCAGGAGAAAAAGTAGGAGAAATACATATAAGAGACAGTAAACAGAGGTGTGAGACAAAGGAGTAGTAATAATGAAGAACAAAACAGTTTCATTGGAAATCATAAGTCATAAGGAGTGGATGCATCTGCACTAGCCATTGAGAACGATTTTGAGCCATATCACTAATTGTCTTAAGCGTTCATTGGTTCTTACTTACCATCCCGAGGACCCCAACCAGTCAGTCAGGAAGTCTATACCTTCCTACGTGGCAGGCTTAGACTAACTGTTGTAGATTCCATTGACTGGTACCATGTTTTGGTTTGACCGCCGCTAGCTCTTTTCCAGCCTGATGATATGTCAGCTAACATTGCTCGTCGAGGAAGGCGATGACTAGGTATGCATGCATAACACATGTCCTAACCATCTCAGTCGATGTAATTTCACAGTCTCGTCGATTGATTTCCCCTCCTTACCTAGCACTCGACGCCTAACCTCAATATTGCTCACCTTATTATAACACTTCACACGGGAGATAGAACGCAGACACCTATGATCACAGACAGCTAGCCTGCCTTTTAATGTCTTCCACTCTCAATGGCCAGGTCTCACAGCCAGCCATAAAGGAGGACGCAGTGGACTGATGAGCAGTTCACACGCCCTTTGGTCGATAGTCGGATATCACGTCTACGCCAGAGACGGCGTAAACTGGCAAATGCGAAACTAGCCCTCTGTATTCGTGCTGAGATTTCGTCAGAGATCAACCCGTTGGCACTGGCTGATGGTTCTTCCCAAGTAAGTGAAGCGGTCAACGTACTCTACCACTTCACTTCCTATTTCTAATCTAGGGGTCGGTGTAGTCCAATCCTGTAACATCATCTTGCATTTGGCGGGAGAGAATCGCATGCCAAACATTCGCAGATTGCTGCTCAGCTCAAGGTGTTCAGAAGACTCTGCATTTTGTCAGCGTCCTCGCTTAGAAGGACTATATCGTCTGCATATTGTAGGTTCACGAAGATAATGGACGTATTCTAGTTCATTCAATCTGAATATTATTTTTTCATTCATATGTCCACTTTACAAGTGTTAGTTTGCAAGGATTTAATTGAAAGCCAATGTGTACTGGACAGCTGTTTCGTACCGATGACGAGTCTCAAACAAGGACGAAACAGTTGTGCAGTACTCCTAGCTTTTCAACGGGTTCTCTAATTGATATCAAACAGAAAAATAACATATACACACAGCTATTAGTCGATCCATCTATGCAACTGATTGTCTCCCCCCTACTTACCACTTTCTTTTTAGATCGCTACATCAAATTCACCACCAACATATCCTGAAGGTCTATCCGCCGGGCTTATTTCAGTTCTAGATGCATGTTTTGCTCGTAATCCAATCGATCGTCCAACAGCTAATCAATTATTAACCTTTAAGATATTTGCTGATCTTATTAGTCAACAAGTGGTGACTTCATCGATAGATGAAGAGAAGACGCAACAACCGCAACCACCACCGCCGCCACCACCACCACAGCCCTCCGCTCAACCTCAACCTGTACAGAAACAAAAAGAACCAGTGCCACTACAATCGTTGCATTCATCATCATCATCTCTAAAAGCTATCATTACATTGAATACAAGTAAAAATCGTGATAAAACATTAAAATCTCAGATGAACACGACAAAATCAAATACAAAATCATCGTCAACATCATCATCGTTTAGTTATCAGCGTTTTTTAAAAACATTCCAATCTAATAAAAATAGTCCTTCATTAAATCATAAAAAATTCATTCGACTTCATGAAGTACTTCAAGAAAGCAAAGAAGAATATCAGCGAAAACAACCTCAAGAGGATATGATAATGATAGTAGGTAAATGTGAACGTCATCAACAAATGCCGATTACTTCACCATCTGATGAGAATTCAAAATGTATTCGTCAACTTTCGGATCATCATCATCAACAACACCAGCCTCAACACCAACAACAGCAACAGCAAGAATCCAATCAACATGTTGATGATACTGTCCTGCTGACTAGACGACAAAAATTTCGACGACCAACTTTACCTGGTCTCAGTTTTCATAGAAAATATCGTTCACGTACACCGGTGGCTATTTCATTTAATTAGACAAAATTCATTTTGCTGATGATGCAATCTACACACCCACACACACAGAGGTACGCATCGAATTTCATCCCAAAAATGTTTAACATTTCCTAGGAGAGGAGTATACAAATTGCCAAGCAAGCCAAAGCGAATCAATTGGATAATAAACGCAGTGATGTGTAAGTGTGTAGGGCAGTTTTGTTTTGTTTTTTTTGAAAATTCTATTTCGTTCTCACTTTTTTAAAAGTTTTACTGGTAAGTTACAGGATTTCAGCATGATGAGTTGACATCAGTGGTTAGAGGACCATTAAGGGAGTATTTGGACAGCCAGCTGTTCCACACTAGTCCTAGCGGGGTGCATCACTATTTGATATCTAAAACAAACTTGTAGTGACAGCTGTCTGAAAGCCAAAGATTGTAGACAACAATTGACGTCAATGTTTGCGTCCCAAATCTTGGTCAAGAGAAAACAACACAAGAACAAAGCTTAGCCTTAAGGAACTCACCAACCAATCACAGCAGACTTAACGTGTGAAAATATGATTCGTAGATATATGACTTAACTTTCTGAGAAACGGTCACAAGCAGTACAGAATAACCTTCAGCAGGAAAACAACCAATCGGAAAACGCTGCTTCTCTGCTAACTGATATCAATCCGTGATCAACTCGTAAAAACATAACTAACCCTTACAAACCAAACTATAGAAAATTAATCTGATGCCAGCTGGTGACTTGCTACAGGATGGAGTTTCCTGGAGTTCTAGTGAGAAGTCGTGACCAGTGAGGTTCAACCAGTTGTCACGTGTGAGGATGGATATCCCACCGAGGACATTGGTTGGTGCCAGTTGCGCCAAATGCATTACGAATTGGTAGAAGTTAGAATTCATGGGCTGGCCATTGAATCGGGTCCCAGTGGCTGAAGGGTATACGAGCTCACTGGCCTTGTAACCGGATGGTCGTGGGTTTGAACCCTGGCAGTTGGTGCGTACTGCAGATGAGTTACAAACTAGGATGACGAAACAGCTGTCCAGTACTCCAGTGCTGGTTTTCAATGGTTCTCTAACTGATATCAATCCATGATCAACTCGTAAAAACATAACGCTAATAATAATGCACATAAAAGTCTATAAATACCTATTGATTGTCTCAGCAAACGATCTGTTGTTTGGCCCTAGTCTTCTGTCGTTACAAACTTATCAAATGTGGAAGTCTAAATCAACGCATGAAATATGCAAATGTCAAACTGATGATATAAATAAATATTATAAGTAGATCGTCCAGGTGGGATTTACCGAATTAATTTACCGATTACAGTGAGTTCCACTGTATCTCAGTGGGAATATTGTGTCATTCACTGAGGAGGATGCAGATACACATCTAGCTGACGAATTCGAAGTGGAACGAAACTCATGTCATAGATTCCATTGATATTTATCATCAAACAAAGTAACATGGTGTTATTTAATTCAATTTTAGATTTTCCCGTTGATTGATTGAACCGAAGCGCTCAGTCTCGAACTGACATGTCAGCTGCTTTTGCAGATGCTTCAACGACGATGTCTGGTCATGCAGCTTGAAGTCAATTGGTGGATGGTGACTAGCGGTGGAATCCAGGACGCAAATTTCGTCGTACTTGGGACTCGTCAGCTAACTGGATGTGCCTGCATTCCCCAGTGAGTGATTATGATGTTCCCAACGAGGCTCAAACCCATCACCACTTACCAATCGACTTCAAATTACATGCCCAGACATCGTCGAAGCATCTGCACAGGGAGCCGACATGTCAATGTGAGACCAAGGAATACTTCGGTCCAATCAATCGACGGGAAAATCTAAATTGAATTAAATAATAAGACCCACTGTACAAGAGTTGACTCTCGTAGCCCAAGTGGTCTAGTGGATAACGCTTTGACGTTTGAAACTGTATACATAGCTATCCAAATTTGTAGTCTACCCAACCCTATGAGTATATTTCACTGAGTTAGCGATATGACTATCAGGTAAAATTAGTTGAACAACAGCATTTGAGTGTGTGCATGTGTGTAACGTCAGAAGATAAGATAGTCGGTAAAGAATGTTTATTAAGGAATCACACATCATATTTATAAAATCTTAGACACATTAAAGTTCGACTAAGTCAGAGGACAATAAACTGTTCTGATTGGTTGACGATTGCCCATGAGCTAAACAAGTTGTCCAATGAAATTTTTTCCTGACCACAACGTAAACTAAATCTCGATTTGAAGGAAGAAACACTTCTGCCTCTGAAAAGCCACTATTGACTTAAAATGTTGATTTCTATTTTTGGTCACTCTCTCTCTATCGATCTGCATCTGCATACTACTGATAAATCTTGTCAGTAGTACATGCTACACATGTTTAGTGTTAACCATTGAAACCATTCATATTTCTTTTCTATAATCCATAATATCACAATGTATATAATATCAACAATGTTATGTCTGACATAATTAAACAACACGCTTATTGCATAGACGTTGTTGACTACCCTCTCTCTCTGTCTTTTATATGCACAATGTTTTTTTCTGTCTTTGCCTTGACATTTATATCAGCAGTAAGTAGAGTATTTATTCGGCAAAAAGAATAAAGGAATTCTTATCATCCTTTAAGATGCTTAAAAGAATATTGTTTATCTTTAAATGATGTCGGTGATCAAAGAGAAAAGTCGGATAAATTAAAAGGGGGGTGAATTGTTGATATTTAGAATTTGCATTAATCGTACAGACAATGGATGATGATATAATAGTGGTCAGTTGACATTCATGGCTGGTGTGTCAGCTTTTTTTATATTTCCCATCTTAGTTATCCAACAAGCTTTAATGTCAGATTAGACCACGGATTGATATCATCAGTTAGAGAACCATTGAAAACCAACACTGGAGTACTGAACAGCTGTTTCTTCATCCTAGTTTGTAACTCATCGGCAGCACCCACCTACCACGGGAAGTTCGAACCCAGGACCTTCCGGTTACAAGGCAAACTCGTATAGCATTCAACCACTCGGACCTGATTCAATAGCCATCCCATGAATTCTAACTTCTACCAATTCTTCATATATTTAGCGCGTCCTCCAACAGAGGTCACTGAGTTATGTACCAGTGGCTAAATGCTTTACGAGCTTGCCTTACAACTGGAAGGTCCCGGATATTTATAGATTTTTATGTACATTATTATTGGCGTTATTGTTAGCAGAGAAGCAACGGCTTCTGATTGGTTGTTTCCTGCTTAAGGTTATTCTGTCATTTCTTTGTGGCTGTTTCTCAGAAAGTTAAGCCATATATCCGCGAATCGTATTTGCACACGTTAAGTCTGTTGTGATTGGTTGGTGAGTTCCTTAAGGTTAAGCGTTGTTATTATTTTTTTTCTTATGACCCTGATTCGCGACTTAAACATTGACGTAAATTGTTGTCTACAATTTTAGCTTACAGCGAGCTCTCACCACAGTCGTGGTAGCTCAAGTTTTCCTTTAGTGACTTTAAGTTGACTGGTGAAATGACCTTGACTGTGAATACTTATTGTTTCTAGAGATTTAGTTTATATTAGTATTTATGTGTCCTGGGCATTGATTATCTTGTTGACCTGATATATTGAACCTTTTGATTGATAAATTTGATGTGTATTAACATGTCTAATCCACAACAGTTAGTTTAAACCGGCTACGTAGGAAGGTGTAGACTGCCTGACTGACTGGTTTGGGTCCGCGGCAGGGTAAAAACCAATGGCTTGGATACATTTGGTGATATGACTCAAAGTGATCGTTTTCATTGGCTGGCACAGATGCATCCGCTCCTTGTAACTTATAATACCCAATGAAACTACATTGTTCTTTGATATTACTATTCTTTTGTCTCATATCCCTGTCTACTGTCTCTATTTTGCATTTCTTTTTACTTTCTTCTTCTCTTGCTTTGTGTGCTACATGAAGTGTGGTGGCTTGAACTGCTGCATATCTGTGCAAAGTTCTATGTTGAAACCAGTCTGTCAGTCAATCATTAACATGTCTGTTATATATGCGTACCAGAGTTCTGTATGTCTGAAGCTGAAAGGGAAACCAAGACAAATAAAGGTCATTTAGCTGGCATGTCATTGTATGATACAACTTCTTGCCAATCATTTTTTAAAAATTACACTTAAATCAGTTCATGTCTCCTCAAGAATAGTAATAATACCAGGGTGTGTTGGACAGCTGTCTCATCCTAATTTGCAATTAATCGGCAGTACGCAGCCACCAGTATTTGTGGACCCAAAACCATCCGGTTACAAGGAAAGCTCGCAGATCATTCAACCACTAAGATCCAACTCAATGGCTAGTCCATAAATATCCTAACTTCTACCAACTCGTTATTTTAGCGTGAATGACACCAGCCAGTGTCATCGCTGGCGAGTATTTGTCCTCACTCTCAACTGAGTGCACTCCAGTGGTCACTATTTTTCACTGGAACTCCAGACAACTTCTTTCTGACACGTGCTGCTAAATAATCCCAAACTGGTGGGATCCCCCAAGTTTCAAACTTCGTCCTATTTGGGACTCATCAGCTAAGTGGATATACCTGCATTTCTCACTGAGTCAACGACGGTGTTCCCACTGAAATTAAAACCTCACTACTACCCTTCGTATCAAATGCTAAAACGTTATATACTAGACCGCTTGGGTGGGTCACGAGAACCATCTCTTCTGAAATAGGCAGGGATTAATCTTCTTTCGTCTACAAGTCCATTTTTGATTTTCGTATATTGATTGATTAGACCGAAATCTTCGATCTTAACTGACCTCCTAGATCCCATTGCTAGTCCACAATCCACGAAATCACTTCAAATTAAATCCTCAGACATTGTCGGAGCTGATATGTTAACAGACGTTGAACAGATCTATCCAGTCAATCGACAGGAACGTCAAAAGTGACATAAAAACAAATTATTGAAGCATGTTATTTTCATTATTTTTTTATGATCATTGTAGCCTCAGGTGTCTATGGATAGTAGTCTAGAGTTAATGAGGGGGGAAGCTGTGATTTAAAATGACAATACAGTGTACTATTTGCAACTAGTAGTATTCTCTGAGCTGGTTGGTTTAGTTGAGGAGTTTTCATCGT